AAGGCGTCGCGCAGGGAGCGGGAAGGGACACCTCTGTTCTTGTAGATGTGTGTGCTGTGCTCTCTGTTGGGAGTGGGGAACCTTTCCCTCCAAGGGCAGCTCCAGATCCCTTTGAAACAAGGCAGCGTCTCTGCTCCTGCCCAGCTCCACCATGTGCCAGGAGGAGACCACACAGTGCAGAGACCTGGGTGCCACAGCAGCTCCAGGACGGCGGGGAGGGACGAGGCGCTGGCACTGAGCCGGGGCGGAGGTGAGCTGTGCCACGGGATGGCTCAGACCCGGGGAGGAGGAGAAGTGGCAGTTTTTTCTCTCTCGAATCATTTAAACTTCATTGTCATGATTGTTTTTATTTAAAAAAAAAAAGGAAAAAAGGAAAAAAAAAAAAAAGGAAAAAAAAAGAAACAAAACAAAACCGAAAAACTTTTGTAATGTGGATTTGTTTTCCTTCGTCTGTATTTCAGTCTGCTGGGGTGTTTCTGTAGATGGTGGATACTTGCTTTCATTTTTTTAATGATAGAAGTCTTCTGTTTTAAGTTGTTTTTTATCACCAGCTCATTCTATCCTCTGTGGTTACTCAGTAATTTCATTTCAATATTTATTTTTGTGCTGCTTTTTTATTATAAAATAAATTATTGATATACCAAGCAATGTGGATTCCTGTTTGTAAGGCGAATAGCCCTGTGTATGTGTCCATTACTTCTCTTGACAGCCACAACGTAATTTATTGCTGTAAATTTAGCTGCAGTGACTGGTTTTTTTGTACCTTTCCAATAAAGCATTTTCTGGTTTCAGACTTGCCCTGGTCTATGGTCAGCATTTTGGAGCCTGAATTGATCTTCAGTGGAGTGTTTTCCTGGGGTTTTTTTTGCTGCCTGTCCCCAGTGCAGCACCCGGCTGGCTGTGGCACTGCGGTGAGCGATGTGTTTTTTGGAGGCAGGCGAGTGGGATGGCAGCTTGGGCTTTTGCAATCATCTGACCCAACCTCCTGGAGCCCATCTCAGCCTTGCTGTGGTGCTTTCCTGGGACACTTGGAATGTGCTCCAGGGATAGCTCCTGTCCGAGCTGTTTGTCAGGTTGATGCCGTGCTCAGACCGTGTGTCTGTTCCTGACCCAGGGGCTCTGTCTTTGTGCACAATCGGGGGTGTCTGTGTTAGCACAAGCAGGACTGACAGCTCACCACCCCTGCCTGCAGTCGTGATGCTGAGCAAAGCCACTTGTGGCTTGGAGACACCATGACCTGTCTTGAAGTGCTGGAGAGAGACACTCCTCTCTCTTCCTTTGGGTTGTGAAATGTCCCTTCATGGTTTCCCTGTGTGACTGCTTGTGAATAAACTGCTTTAACCCCTTACATCAATACTTCATCTTTTTGCTTTTCCCTGTTGAGGCTTTTAAAAAGGTGGTACCTTGTGCCAGTGAGCTTTTAGGGGTTGTGTTGGCTTTAATTCCCTATTTCAAGTGGTAGAGTTTCTTGAGGGAACAGCTGAAGGGGGTAAAACACTTGGGCTGTGTTGGGGCAGTAGGTTGGAGACAGATGGGTGTGTTGGCCAAAGCTGGAATTAAGAGGTAGGGCAAAGTGAAGAGGAGCAGGCTGAAAGGCTTTTTTTGTGTGTCAGCAGGTAATGGATGGTCATTAGGTGGGGCCAGGCAGGCTTGGCTGAGCAGGCACGTGGGTGAAGCCTGAGGGTGATGGCAGTCTGCTGAGCAAAAAAAGCATCATCAGCTGCTTTGGCTCCTGCCTGGAGTCACTGCAGTGAGGAGCTGTGACAACAGAGGGGACAGGGAGGTGTGCCAGTTGTGACTGTCGGAGGGATAGAGGAACATTAGTTCAGGAAGGAAAGGCCAGGTGAAGATTCATAAGTGAAAGAAAACGTTCACCATGCATAGAAGAGGAGTATAAAAGGTCTCTGTGAAGAGGGTGGTAAAAGCACAAATCTTGCTCTCTGGCACAGGTCTGGCAGTCTGCTGCCTGTCAGCAGCTGGGCCCAGGGACTTGTTGGTGAGTGCTGGCACCCAAAAAAAGAAGTGTCTGTCTCTGACTGGGTGCTGTGCAGTGAGCAACCATGCGTGAGAGCTGCCTCTGCTGTGGTGCCAGCAGCTGCCTGCCTTCCCCTCTGCTTTTAGGGAGGTCAGCCTGGGCTCCTGCAGGTGTAGTGACAGTGTGCCTGTGATGATCATCCCTGACATAAGTGGGGTGTAAACCTGCCTGATCCAAGCCCAAAAAGCACCAGGAGATCCGATAGCTGTAACTCAGCCTTGTCCTTGGGGAAAGCCCGAGGACAAGTGACAACGGGAAAACAAATCTGCCGACCACTGGAGCCTGCTGCTGGCAGTGAGAGATGCCTGTTCCTCCCTGGCAGCCTGCTGGCGTGGCTCCAGGCACAGCAGGCTCCTGTGTAGGTCACCCGTGTGCTCGCCGCCAGCTTTCCCCGTGTCCTTGCTGAGGAGGCAGAGGAGACCGCGTCCAGCCTACATCACCGTTGACATTTCTATTCCCCGTGGATGCCTTTTGACAGCCTAAGGGTTTGAGGGCCATGACAGCACCCAGCCTGAGCCATCAGCTCTTGCCTCTCTCCCCTCTCCAAGAAAAAGGACGAGCAGGAGGCCCAGCTCGCGCCGGCTGGAGCAGGGAGGGTGCCTGCTGTTGCTGTCGCGGCAGCCAGCTGGTGTCCAGCCCAGCACGGCTCCTTCAGGCTGGTATCACACTGCTGACTTGCATGAGTCACAGCTGACTTCTCTTTTTTTTTTTTTCTTCTCCCCCTTGTTTGGCTTGCAAGAAAGATCTGTTTTACATATAATACAGTAATCAGGGCTTGACATAAATAGGCAAATGTTATTGTCTGCAGTGGGAATTGCACCTGCTGGCAGAGCAATGGAAGCAGCCCATTATGCACTGGAGTCGATCATTTGTGCAATGAAGTACAACCACGCTTCTTGCTGTGTTCTTGTGCAAGTCTTTATCTCAGCGGCTGCGAGCGCGCCAGCAGATGTGCCATCATCACCTTTGCAGTCTGTGCTCACCCCAGGAGCCAGAGCAGCCTCTGTTCCTGCAGCTGTGGCCGTCCTCTCCCAGAGGGGTGAAGACCAAGATGTTCAGCTGAGATGTCCCTGCTTCTGTGCTGGCTGCATTACAAAGCCAATCAACCTTGTCCCTGAGTACTGAGGCTGCACTTTCTATGCAGGACAGTCTTGCTCCCAGGATGTGCAGGATCCTGGATGAATGCCTGGATGTGCACAGCCTCTGGCTCTTGTTTATGGGCCTCCTTGCAGGAAAAGTGGCAGCAGTCTCACCGGCTGAGCAGGTGTGAGCAGTGCTCCTTTGGACTAGAGGGACTTGCAGGACTGGCTGAACTCGTGTGGAGTCTGGGCTATAGCATGGTAGAATTTCTCCAATAGTAATAATAATAATAATAATAATAATAATAATAATAATAATAATAATAAAAATAAATAGAGCTTGTCTTGTTTGTTCTGGAGTGTGGGCTTAGCTTAGCTAAACCAGATCCAGCTCCTCTGAACCACTGTATCCACAGCTTAGGCGAGGGTTGGAAGAGGGGCTGTGCAAGGAGAGGAAGCTGGAGACACACACATTCTTTGTGGAGTGAAAAAGATGAGCACAAATCCTGTAGGAATGCCAAAATGTGCAGGATGCTGCGTGTGCAGGTATTTCTGCTGGGCCAGCATTGAGGGGCAGGGAGGACGTTAAGCTTAAGAGCATCAGCATTATAGCAGGAACAGGCAGATCGTGGGCTTTGCTTGCTGAGCTCAGTGAAAATGCTTGCTTGCTCTGTGCTAGAAATTGCTGTTTATTAGAAAAAAAAATAAATAATTTTCTGTTGTAATTTACATTTTGCAGCTTAAGAGCAGGGCAAAAAAAGATGCAAATTCTATGTATGAGTTGTGTTTAAAAGGGCTCCAAGCCTTATCCATTGGTTTGTTTGCCACATGACTGCAAATCTGAGAATATACATTTGCTTTCATCCTTCCACTAGCCAGCTGCCATGCCAGACAACAGCCCAACCAGTGCCTAAGTTCATTCCTAAGGATCATCTCATTAACAGGAGAATAGAAATTAGACTAAAAATTGGGGGAAAAAGGAGAAGTCTTAAGAGGAGGACGTGAGCTCACCATCACTGATACGAAGAGCATCCCTCCACGCAGTCTTTCCTTGCCTGTGGTCTTGCCCCACTGGCAACATCCCTCAGCACCTCTCTATCCTCACCATGATCACCCAGCTGGGCTCAGCTCCTGCTTGCCTTCCCACAGGTCAGGCAAAGCCCAGGGATGGGGAATAGTGAAGGGTTAGGAAGAACAGACAGTTCCCAGTAAGTGAATTCCTATCACCACCATAGTCTGGTTCCCTAATAAAGATTCTGAAAAGGAAGCTGGAATCCCTTTTAACTTCTGATCAGTTCAGAGATAAGCTGGTTTAGACATAAACAAGCACTTCTGTCACTGGCAGCTCTCAGAAATGCAGCTACAGACCTCTGGTTAGTCCCAGTGAGGTGCTGCCACACTGCCGGGGGAGTTACTTGGCCAGCTGCATCCACATCTGGAGGGAGAAGAGGATGACTTACTCTTTCTCCATGGTAAAGGTCTTTTGCACATCTCTATAAGCTTTGCTGTGAGAAGGAAAGGGGAAAAGATGTAAAAATAAGGAATGACGTCTTTCAACCTTTACCAGGTTTTGAGGTGAAGCGAAGTCACCTTCCTGGGTTGGTTTTCTCCACAGAGCCCTTGGAGATAATTTTTTTACTCAAATTGGGAGAAATTAGAGCAGAACTGTGCTGAGAAAAGCATTTCTCTCAGGCCTCAGCATTGCTTGGAGGTAAGAGTAGAGCAAGGGCAGCTGGTCTGTCCTGCACCCTGACTCCCCTCCCTGCCTGGCATCCCCCAGCACTGGCACAGGGCTGGCAGAGAGACAGCAGCAGTGGGGCAGCAAAGCCCAGGCTGCAACACAGGGTTCAACACAGCTCCATCCATGATAGTAGAAGCTGGCACTATTTGACTTAACCTTTTCTGGATTATTACATCTTCCCTTTGAGAGACTGGCTTTTTGAATAGAGTTCCTGGCTTCTCAGTATTCTGATTAGCCCAGGCTGTCTCAGCCTCAAGACACCTCCCCTCTGCACGAGTTAAAACCTCTTCAGTGTCAGTGTCTCTTCTGATACCTCCTACAGCTCCTCATCTGACAGGATTAGCATTCTCTTTTCAATGTTTTTGCTCTTCCTGCTGCTCTGTCCATCTATCTTGGTGGCCACGTGCCCGTTCTCCCCCGGTGCTTTGCGCTCTGCCTCCTGCATGGACTGCTGGGTGTACTGCTGGTACGCAGGTGAGAAGTTGTGGATGGCATCCTGCACAATGTCCTGGGGGCTGATGGTCTCCTTCAGCCCACTCGAGATGCTCTGCATCGGGGCGAGGTTTGCTGCAAAACAGGGAGAGCAGGAGGGTGATGGGGCAGCAATCGATGAGCCCAAGTGATCCAACGCACTTCTCCTTAGAAATTCAAGAAGATCAAGGGCTCATTCTGGGCCACAGTAGCTTGTGGTCCCAGGTTTCAAGGAGAAGGAAGAAAATCCCAGCTCCATGTTCCAAAGGGTAGATCCTCTCCAAGAGCATGTGGGTAATACCACCATCCCCTAATCCTGCCCAGCCACACCAAGGTCTCCTTACCTGCCCCCTTGTTTTAGCTTGTGGGTGTCATGAAGGAAGAGGAAGAAGAAATGTAGAGAGCACAGGATAAAGAAATTCCTCTTGTAGCTTCTAACATCCCATTGGTAATGGGATACTAATAAAATAAGGGAAATTTCCTCTTTCCTTAGTCATTGAAGAAAGGAAAAAGTGAGGAATAGTTACCTGTTGAGTTTTCTTTCTTCTCCCTGTACACGTGGCAGGTGAATGCGTAGCGCAGGGCAATGGAAGCGAAGAACATTTCAATGCAGATGATGAAGTTCTGGTAGCCAGCAGCCACTGTCCCAGCTCCCACCTCCTTCCCATCGATGATCTGAACTTCAGGGATCACCCCACATTTCTCCAGGATTGCCAGCAGTGTCCCTGTGTGGGGGAAGGGAGAGGGATCAGTTCTGCTCCTGCACCCCTGGTCCAGGTGGGGCTATGGGAGGAGAAGCGCTGGGTGTCTGTGGTGGGGCCCACCTTGCCAGAAGGAGAGGAAGATGACAGCCTTGATGGTGATGAACTTGAGGACCGGCTCAAATGGGCGCAGCAAGTCCATGGTGGCGAAGTAGAAGAGGAAAAGGGCATAAAGAGCCAGGCTGACAGAGAAGTTGTAGATGATGGTGATGTAGAGGTATCCACTGTGGACACTGCAGGCAGAGAGAGAGAGAGAGCTGCTGCCCTGGGCTGTGGGGAGCAAAGGAAGTGCAGCTGGGGGCAAAGAAAGATCAAATGGGGAAGGGGAGGCTGCACAGCTTTGCTGTTGGGCAGAGCACAGCCCAGGAAAGAGAGGAGGGCAGAGGTAGCAGCTTCTCCTCTGCCAATGGGATTTATTTTTATTTATTATTTTATTTATTATGGCTCACAGGCGTTTTGTCCTTTTATTGTTTGGGGGCAGTGAGTCTCTGTTCCCTGGCTCTTTGGGCTCACAGTGCTCTCACTATCCATGGAGCAGCTTCCTGGGGAGACTGGTGGTAGAGCAGGGATCCATCCTCTCCCATTCACTCCCCCCCAGCCCCACCCAGCAGCCTCACTTGAAGTCTCCATCGTGGTACTTCCCAAATGCCTGCAGGATGATGGTGACGATTGCCATGAGGGGTTTCACAATGCAGAACTGCAGCGTGGCCTGCACAGGGGAGAGACACGGTGTACCACGGGCAGCAGGACATGCCACCCCTCTGCTCCAGGGACACACACAGAGGAGAGAGCAGTGCTCTGGGGTGAAATATGAACCAACACAAGGTCTGCAGATGCGAGGGAGTGGGGCTTCCTGGGACAGCTCCTGAAAGGCAGCATAGCCAGTGCAAGGTGGGGGACAGACAGGTGACAAGATTCAGCCCACTGTGCAGTCCTGGAGAGTGAGACAGCATCCAGGCTAACCTGGGACTGGACAGAGATGGCAATCTGAGCTCTGCAGTGGGAGGAGGCCCTGACTCAGCAGTGAGTCAGAGGCAAGGACAGCGAGCAGCCTTGCTGCTGGCCAGGTGCCAGCAAGCTGGTGACCTGCCTCCCTCAGAGGAAAAAAGCCTCCAAATCCAGCATCTTAAGTGAATAATGAAGCTAAGCCCCCTTGGCAGGGCAGTGGGGAAGGAACTTGCCACCCAGAGAGCCTCATCTGAGGGAAGTGCAGTCAATGCTCCCCAAGGGGTACCCACCTGCTTGCAGAAGCGCAGGAACCCGATGGAGTAGGACATACCCTGAAGGCAGCAGGTCCCATAAAAGCAGCTGGACCTGGAAGCAGAAGACAAGGAGATGCCATTGGGGGTGCTGGGTGGGGAAAGTGGATGGAGAAGGAGCTCACAGGATGCTGGGACTTACGCAATGGGCTTCCCTCGGATCTCTGTCATGATGGTGCTCTCCCCTCCAAGGTACTCGAAGCACAGGCTCAGGAAGCTGTAAATCACAAAAGCTGCCAAGGCAAGGGCAGACATGATCAGCAGGACTGATGTGAGTCCTGGAGGGGGTATTTAATCTCACATTCCTTCCTGCTCAGGTGTTTCCTCATCCAGCCTGGCACTGCATCAAGATTTGGGATGCTGGTGGGTGGGAGCCCACTGAGAGGAGCAGCAGGTCAAATCTAGCTGACTTCTAAGTGGAGTCAGACACATTGCACTATGTGCACAGAGCTCATTACAGACACAGAAGCTCCTCTGGGTACACACAGTCTATCCAGTGACCATGTGCATGGAAGTACCTCAAAATTGCTAAGGGGCAGCACAAATGGTTGGTGGCCAGCAAGCAGTGGGTCCTGAACAGTTTTCTTGGACATCCCCACTGCTTATTTTTCATATACTCCAAACCTGAAGTAATGCAAATGCCCACACAACTTAGTTCCTGAGGAAGAGAGGACCAAGGTAGAAAAACAGCCTTAATCCTGACAAGTTTCCCTTGCACTTCAACACACCCCAATGCTCCATTTCCTTAGGTACATCTGCCTCATGTTTTAGAGAAGCTGCACTTCTACCTCACAGATAGCCAGAAAACCTCTTTCCCAGGACTGTGGTGCTGGGGTCCCTCCAAGCCCGTGTGTGAAAGGCTGCAGCTCATGTTGGTCTGTGGGACACCCCCTCCCTGCTGCCAACAGAGAAGAAAGGAGAAAACCTTTGCCTGGAGGGAGAGTGGGAAGTGAAAGCAATGGAAATTTGCCGCTTCACAGCCCAAGATGCTCCAAAGACAGGTCAGCAGGATGAGAGCCCTGCTCTGCCTTCAGCCTCCCCGCTGAGCAGCTGCTGTGCTCACCTTCATAGCAGTCACGCACCGAGTCGAAGTAGACGTAGTACTGGTGGCTGCCGAGCAGGAGGAGGCTGAGCCACGAGTCAAAGGCATAGACAGGCACAATGAAGAGGATGCGGATGATGTAGCGCTGCTCCTTGGGGATGGTGTAGTTCCTCAGGTGCGTGTAGATCTGCAAAGTGCCCAGCATGCAGAGTTGTGGTTGCCACAGGTCAGGATGGGAACTAGAGGTGCCCCCAAGCCCACACGGGTGCTGTGTTAACCCTCCTCTCTGGGGTGAGAGCTCTGCCAGCTTTCCACCACAGACCATCACAGTGAACACACACAACAGGCTCCATTCCAGTCCCTGGGCCCATCCCTTCCATGAAAACATGTGGAAATCAGGTTTCTTCTCTGGGCTGTGTGAGGAATGTGCCCTCCCCTGTGCAGTCCCATCCCAGTGCTTGAAGACAGCCACTTGCCCCAGGCCTGCCTCCAGCAGCATGGACCTGCACAGCCCCCTAAACCATGCCCACTTGGGATATGCCTCAAGGCAGCTGGTGCTGTGCACCCCAAACACCCCAAATGCCCCACCTTGTTGCTTCTGGGCAGTGCCTACAGCCTCTTCTGGCTCTGGCAACCACCTGGGGAGTGTGGCAAAACCATCCTTATGAGCTGCCAGCACCAGGCTCCTGACAGCAGGGATATCACCTCTGGGCAGCAACAGGAAGAAATACTTACCTGGAGCTGAGTGATTCGCAATGGACTTGGGGGCAATTGATAGTTTTGCTCTCATGTCAGCCCCTGTGTTGAGCCCCATGTCTGCTGCAGCCCATACCTGGTGGAAGGTGACGATGAGTGCTGACCACACGAAGATGCCAGAGATGGCCTGTGCTGCTGTCGTGGTCAGGAAAAGCTGCTGGTCGTCCTGGGAGTTGTTGTGGGCAGCCGTAAGCAGGGCAACAGCTGAGAATGGTGGGGCTGAGGCCAGCCTGGCTGATGTGCCAGGCCCCAGCGTGCCAGGTGCCACGGGAGAGGGCACAGCACGTGTGGCATTACTCATCTGCAGGGAGGGAGAAGGAAGGGGAGTGGTGCAGGAAGGCAGGAGCAAGGTAAGCTGGTGACAGGGAAGGTCCCAGCAGATTTCCCAGCCCACACAGCATGTACAAAACCTCCTGTGAGATTTATCTCCTCCCCAGGGTTTTTCCAGGGTGTCCTTCACCCAAACCAGCCCCTTTGCCGTGATTGGGTCTGCTTCTCCCAGCAGGAAAATGCAAATATCCTTCAGAAGCAGACCCTCATTTCCCTGAGGAGGTCTATGCAGTTCCTATGTCTCCCAAAAGACACACTTCTCTTTCTCAGCTTTGCTCCTTGCTTTCTCAGGAATCACTCCCACTTGAAAGGGAATGATCTGTATGTCTTTTCCATCAGAAACCAGAGACTTAAGGGTTAAACCAATCCCTCACCCAGGATACTAAAGAGTCCCTTACCAACAAGCCATCAGGACACTTGTGTCATCTTCCGTGGGAGCCCAGAAAACACCAGATACCCCCCCAGATTTGGCTCCTTTCATCATGTGTGGCCTGCTGGGGGCAAAGCCTGGGGCTGCCCAAGAAACCAGACATTTGGTGTCACCCACATTCTTCACCCAGCTATTTCGGGATTGTGGGGGTGTCAGTGTGCCAGTAGTGCCAACCCCAAGACCTGAAGGACAGCCGGCAGTCCCTCCTGCACCCAAATTAAGCACAAGGGAGCAAGCCTGCTATTCCAGAGGCAGATCTGCTGCCCTTTGGGGATGCAGGAGTGCTGTGGCATCTCCCTGCTCGGTGTGTGCTCCTCAAAGGTGGCTGCCCCAAGGCACTGAGCATTCCTGTGCAGAGGGTGGCTGGGCATACGGACACCGTGTACCCTGTGCTTACAGACAGCAAGGACCAACCTAATAATAAGCAATTATTTATAGGGCAGCTTCGTATCTCAAGGCCAACAGATGCATAAACTGCCATGTTTGGGCTCTCTTTCTCTTAATCTATGGAAAGCTGCTTTTTCCCCAAGTATAACAATAGTGGTTTAAAAAACCAACAACCTGCGAGCTGAACTCTAACAATATAGATGCTTCTCAGTGCATTGTTAATAAACAAATACTTTAGCTGCTGGGTAACTATTGCCTGGGGTAAAACTGTAAGCATGAACTGGAGAGAAGCATAAAAATATCTGCCATGGATAAGAGTGGTAGGGAATGACCTCGGTCCAATTAAACACTGAAAACAAACCAAAGCAAGAGCTGACCCTGCGGCTCCCTGTTCTGCCCTCTCACCGAACCCCAACCTCACAGGAGAGCAAACTCGGCTGGTGTCAGATCAACAGCCCTAAAAATACCTTTCCGCGGCTCGGCCTGGCAGGAGTCGCGGGTAAGCGGAGCTGCCCTGGCGCGGCCCCAGGAGCGCGCCCGGAGCGGCCGCGGGGACCGGCGCTGGAGCGGGGACAGCCGCGGGGCCGAGAGGGTTACACAGGAGCAGGAGCCGCGTTTTCCTCCCTGCCGCCACCGTCCTGTGCTCCTGCCCCGGCCAGGATCCCGGAAAGCCGGGGCGGGAGCTGGTCTTTGGACAGACTTGGATGCTGCCGGACCTGCCTTGTAAACATTAACAGGAGGACGGAGATAGCTGGTGGCACGGGGAAGGAGATGGGAGTCTGGCTGCGCCCCGTTCCCCAGTCACTCCTCACTCCTTCTGGGGGCTGCCCTGCTGCTGGCTGGGGCTAAATGGCTGGATTTGGCCACGCTTTGCCTCTGCCAGAGCATCATGACAGAGCAGGATGAAAGCTCACTCTTTCTAGCTGTTTTTCTAGTCACTTTTCTAGTGATCCAGCTTATTCCCCAGGACACGGCAGAGAGCTGTGCTCTTCACTAGATCCATTTATTCAGTTTTCAACCCAGCGCTGTGCCACAGATACTTGGTCCAAGACATCCCATCTCTTATTAACTTTCCCAGCCATGGCGGTGTGAGCACGGTGGCACCAACAGCCAGTCCTGGCAGCCTCCCCGACATTGTCACACTCTGAACATTGCAGAGCAAGCCATTAAAAGCAAAAGCCGCGGTGCCGCTCAGAGACAGGGCTCCCAGCTCCACAGGTAATTAGATCCCGGCCGTGCAAGGTAGTCAGGCAATTCAATGCAGTTACAGAGCCATTTGCTTCCAAAACAAAGGCAGCAAGGAGACACCGGGAATAATACCAGCTGCAAAATTCAGCTCCTCGATGGGACTGAGCCATATCCAATCTGTTTTCAGACACCTTGCAGGTACCTGCCATACAGTGTCTACCTGTTACATACACTCTCTGGGATATTAGAGATGCTAAGTGAGAACTGAAAAGATAAACTGAGCAGTGAAGCTTGTGTTCAGGCAGGCCACCTGCAAATGGGGCTTTTCACCTTGCTAGGGACTCCCCTCCATCGGCAGGCTGCCAGAGCCCAGACTCCCAGCTCACGTCTCCCTGTGTCCTGCAGCACCTAGGACATATCCCCATCTCAGCGGCAGCCCTCTGTGGAGTGAAGCAGGTCAGCAGGGAAAGGTGAGCCCTCGCAGCCCCCCAGCACTGCCTTTGAGATCCCTGACCCATATCCTGGGGAGGGGAGCATCCAGGCTTAGCCCCACCAGAGCAGGAGACATGCCCTTCCTCCTGATTGCTGTCAGATAAAGCCGGGATACTCTATTTACGGGACCAGCCTCTCCACACCACGATCAGGCCACTCAGGGGGAAGGACCTACAGCACACAGCTACAAATCGCGGCAGGGCAGCATCGAGCACTCCCTGAAGCCCATCTGGAGGAGTGGATGACGCAGGCACAGGGCTCTTATAGGAGGCTCTGCCCTCCCAGAGGCTCCCACAGGTGCTCAGAACCAATGGCTGAGTCAACCCCGATTTGTGGGGTTTCCCCCAGCTGCTGTGCACCCCCCAGGGCCCCACTCACCTTTTGGGGCTCCTCCGGGAGGGAGTCCGGCTGCCGTGCACCTGCCTCTGCATCCCCCGTGCCCTCCTCCACCTGCCCCGCCGGAGACTCCTCCTCCGGACACCCTCCCAGCCCTGCCCGCTGCTGGCCGCGGGCCCTGCCGCTGCCCCAGTTACCCTCGCTGCTCCCGGCTCCCACCAGCACCCCACTTTTCCCAGCAGCGTCCCACTCTCCCCGCTGGCCCTTGTGTCCCGGCACCCCGCTTACCTTTACCAGCACCTCCTCGCTGTGCCCGGCTCGCCCTGCCAGCGCCCTCGCTGCGCCCCGGGCCCCGCGGGAGCTGGAGCAGCAGGTCGGGCTTTGTCTCCCGCAGAAAAGCTACCCAACTTACCTTTCCAGTCCGCCGCGCTCGGCACCCACGCCCGGAAAGCAAACACGGATGGAAAGCGGCTGTGCGGCCTGACACCGCTGTCCCCCGCCCAGCACACGGGCCGAGGGCAGGAGCTCTGCCTGGGCGGCAGAGGCAGCTTTCCCAGCAATTGGGAATTAATCCCTACCTGGAGGAGAGCAGTGCTAAAAGGCAGGCAGCTGGTGGCATCTTGTGCCTGTTGTTTGAGCAGGCCTTCCCCTTGGTTTATTGTGCAGCAGAGAGGAGCAAAGTCGAAGGACCAATTGCTCGGGCTCTAATTTATCAAACATGGAAAGGCAGCAAGGTAAGTCTGTCCGGGCTCCGAGCATCAAATCAGAGATGCTTCCATGACCTTTCCTCACCCCCTGCCCTATGCAGACCAGGTGGCACATACACAGCCAGGAAATGAAGGTACTTAACTTGTGCCTGGCTTTTAGGTAGTAACACTCAGCTCTCTGGGGCACAGCAGTGGTATGCCCCTCTATCACCACAGTGGAAGATGCAATTTCTATCCAATTTGCTGATTCATGCATGTTCTCTTCAAGCTGCTGGAGCTGTGGACACAGTAAGAGCTTCAGTTTTGTGTCAGGAGAGAATCCCTCCTAGCAAACCAAGATTGACAATAACTAATTCCACATGGCTCTCTCAGCCTTCCTAGACAAAAAAAAAAAAAAAAAAAAAAAAAAAAAAAAAAAAAAGGGAAGTGGAAAAGAGGAAAAATTTATAGCTCTGACAGATGTGAATCTTTGATTCTTGGAAGCACAGTTTAGAAAATTATTTTTAGATGCAGTTTCTTGTCAAGGGCAGCTGGAAGCCTGCAGTGTTTGAATGTATTTTTTAAAAAGAGTTTCATTTCTCATAATCCCTTTAAATGCTGTAAATAACTCTTATTTCAGAGAAAAGAGTCCTTTCGAAATCCATTTTCTGCTTTTCTACTTCTAGGGGATTTTTTAACAACAGAATGACCTGGCAGCTGGATCACCATGATGGGGCAGGCACAGGCTCTGTGCTGATTCTGCTGTACCAACTGGTCTTAGCACAACTCTACTGTGCCCAGAATCCAAGACCTGGCCTCTGTCTGTGCTGTCAAGTTCATAAGTGACAAAAGTGTATAACAGCTCACTTGAAAATTTACTACTTGTTGTTGTTTATTACAAGAGGTAAAAACAAATGTGCTTTCCAGGCAAAAGTTTGGCTATTAATCTTTGCATCAGCTCATACAACATAATCTGACACATTTTGTAGGTGACTTGTCAGAAACAACCCTGTGTAACCCCTCAAACCATCTGTCCTCACATCTCCTGACAGATGTTCATTGATCAGCCAATGGATGCTGTTTCTCTGATGTGTTGGTACCACGTAATCCATTGGCAGAGATTATTTTCTTACCACTAATTTGGGTTCCTGTCTTCCACCCTGACATCAGCTTTCATGAAATTTGCAAAGTGTCATGATCTGCCTTTCTTTAAAATCAGAGTGAAAGTAGAAAATTAATTCAGACTACATCCAGAAAGGAACGGACATAAGGACAAAAGCAGCCATCTAAGACTCATTTCCTAAAAAAAGGCAAGAAAATGTTTCCCATTATGCAACTGTTGATTTTTTACCAAGGCTTGTATTTCAATTGAAGTGATTCTCATAGAGCAAAAAAGAAAACAGGTAAAATTTGATTTGACAATGTTTCTTTTATTCCCTCTGCACTGGGTGTTCCCCCTTTGCGGTATGGCACAGCTACAGACCTTGGCATCTGCTGCTCCTCAGGACACATGAGCAGAGCTGAGCCCTTTCCCAAATAAATGACCCACCCAACATGATAAAAGTAGCACTTCTCTCCTATGTTGAGACAATTGCTCTCGTCTCGCCACTGTCTATATGGACTTGCAAACCTGTCCCAGTAATAAAACCCACAAATGTTCTACACAGTAGAGAAAAATTCATGAAATTCCTTAGGACATCCAAAACCACCACAAAGACATTCCATCGTTTTCATTTCTAGTCCTTTTAAATAGGTGGTGATGAGTCACGGACTCAAGATCATTTCCTTGAATCCAGATGGCACAACTTCACCACACTTGGCAGCTCCGGATCACTTCTCGTAGAGCCTGTATTCCTTCCATGGTTTTGTCCTTTAAAGCCATGGCGAGGAGAACAGGTTTGTTCCCAGCTTCCTGCGACACGAACGCCACCAGGTTTTTGGCACAAACATGAACGAGGGGCTGAAAAGCAAAGGGATACAGATGTACACTCCTACAATGGGAGAGCCCTCCTGCAGGAGAGGAAGCGTCCCTGAGTGACGTGGAGAAACTCTTGATTCTGGACTCAGACTGAGCTCGATGCTTGTTGGCCAGTTCCAACATGGTCAGCAAAGGCAAGCCATGGGACAGGGAACTTCAGAAAGCATTTTCTCAACCAGATTAAAAGGGAAGAGTTTGGTCCCATGAATGTGCCAGCCACCCACACCACCCGGAAACAACTTCAGTGGAGCTGCACTTGAATTGAGTTCAGCACTGTCTGGGAAACTTGGAAACTCCGTACGGAGAATCTTTCCTTCCATAATCCTCCCACCTGAACTGTGGCACCAGTGTTAAATTATATGAAATGATATGGATCCAAATGCCTTTATTTCCTTCACAGCCAGGTTTCTAAAGAAGTTTGCAAGTACATTTTTTTTTGTTTAAAATCTTGTTCTGAAAAGGGGATGTTCCATTGACAAGCTCTGGAAAAAAGCTGTTATTTTTGTAATTCCTAGAGATCCCCAAATGGTGTTAAATACACAGTTTTTGTATGTCTGGTGTTACAGACATGTTGCCTTTTATTTTAATAGAATAATGAAGAGCAGAAATAAGTAGTGAGGCTGAAGGAGGCAAAAAAAGGGATATAACCTTTTCCATGAGGTTTCTTTAACAAGAATACATCAGAACAGCATTGACTATGTCACATGGAAGGCACATACAATGACATCTAGCCCAGCTGCCTGACCAACTCAGAGCTGACCAGGTTAAAACATTATTCAGGGGATTGTCCAAATGGCTCTCAAACACTGACAGGCTTAGAGCATCAAGCACCTCAAGCCTGTTCCAGTGTCTGACCACACTCGTGGTGAAGAGGTGTTTTCTCATGTCCAGTCTCAACCTCACCCAGCACAGCTTTGAACCACCCAGCTTGTCTAGGGTTTATTTACACCCATAGTTGTGTATCTGTTGGAAGGATGAGTTTGCTTGATTTCAGCTGCTGTTTGGAAGTGTGCAGCGTCCCAAAGAAGGATGTTAGCAGTGACAAGCAGGAAAGCAGCAAACTAGTGAAAGTCTTTTCTTGAAATTTACATCAGTTAGTTAAAATTATTTAAAAATAGAATGGAACAAAGTAAACATAGCACTTCCCATTTCCAAGTAAAACACAAAATAAGCTTGGGGGTGGAGGTGGTCAGAATTTGCATATATCAAAGCAGAGAAAGCAAAATATCTCCCAAAAAGGGAAGGCTATTGCTCAAGAGAAAGAACTCCACAAGGAAAAGTCATGGATAAAATCAGGAACTTGTGTTGTTATAGCTTTTCTAGTTAAATCTAGCAAGTAATATGTGATAGCTTCAACCCTGATGGAAAGCCTCATAATCTTGTAGCTCTGTAACTTTCTGTTTTAATGTTTGACCAGTTGATGCTTTGCGAAACACATTTGCATCTGCTTTCTCTCTAGCTTTGTGAAGTGGTCGATAAAAACCTCATTTTGTTGAAGCAAAACAAATTTAACTTTATCAAGGGAAGGTGCTGGGCACACTTGGGAGTGGGCAACTAAAGCCCATTATGGGGCTGGCATAGACAGGGGAGGATGGGGGTGGGAAAACAGACCTGAAAAGGAAAACAAACTCACTGGAACAGAAACCCAAAAAGGTTATCAATGGCTGCATATTTAATCTTGCAACCCTTAAATCAACACAGTTTTATCAAACTTTCCATAAACATGCAGAAGCAATCCATATCCTGTAGGATACAAAACAACAGATCGCCAAACCACTCATGGTTAGTTACACTTTTATGTCCACAGAGCAGACGAGCGCACATACTTTTCTGATGAGCCCCTCTTTCCTCATTTTAAAATTAATCTTATCACTGTTCAAACACTGCTTAACTGCTGTGATTCATCAACTCCCTGGCAACTTGCACAACCCCACCCACTACATTTCCCCCTTATCCTTGCTGCCCCAGCGCTCCGCATCCGCTCTCACCTCACCTCATCCTTGCCCAGCAGCACCTTCGTGGTGAGCGTGGGCCTGCCCACGTTGTCGCCGACGATGTTGGGGTCCACGTAGACGATGGTGCCCATCTTGCCGTACTGTGTGACCACCACGAGGACGGAGTTGGAGAAGGCCGTGCACACCACCTCCGTGGGCACCCCGTGCACCACCTCCTCCCGCTGCTTGGACGTCACGATGGGACCCGCTTCCATCGCTTCCGAAAGGAACAACACGGCGACAGTACGACAGCATTACATGAAAAACATGCGCGACGGGCTACAAAAAGACCGAATCCTTCCCATAGTTTGAAATACCCACGCTTAGGTTAATTTCAGTACAAACCCGCAGCCCTGACTGGGGGGGACCTCGCAGCGCCGCAGCGATGGCATCACTGCCCCGCACGGCCCCGCTGCCTGGCAGGGGCCCCGCTAACGCGGGCAGCTGGCACCGAGGGGGAAACCTCGAGCCCTGCTTTCCACCCGGCTCCACCAGGCTTCTCCTGAGGGAGACATGGAGACAGGGAGACAGCCACCCCCATCCCGCCGGGCCGCGGCCCTCACCGCCCCTACCCTTGCCAGCCCCGCCGCGCCGCCGCTCTCCGCCCAGGCCCGCCCCGCCGTGGCGGAAGCGGCGCTTTTATTTTCCTTTCCTTTCCCTTCCCACCCCTCCCTCTCTCCCTCCCGCAGCCGGCGGGGGGCGATGGCGCAGGGCAGCCCTCACGGCCTGTTCCCTCCCCTTCCCTCCGCGCCGCCGCCATTACCCGCCGCGCGCGGAAGGCGCCATGTCCGCCCCGCCGCGCGCTCCTCACGGCCCCTCGCCGGCCGCGGGCAGGGCTGCCGCTCCCGGGCGCTTCTCCGGGGTGAACCCGGCCTCCCGGGGTGAACCCCTTCTCCTGGAATGAACCCCTTATCCGGGGCTGAACCCCTTTCTCCGGGGATGAACCCCACCTCCGGGAATAAACCCACTGTCCGGGGATGAATCCCCTGTCCGGGGATGAACCCCTTCTCCGGGGATGAACCCCTTCTCCGGGGGTGAACCCCTTCTCTGCGGATGAACGCTTTCTCCAGGGATGAACCCCTTCTCCGGGGATGAACCCCCTGTCCGGGGATGAACCTCTTCTCCAGGGATGAACCCCATCTCCGGGGATGAGCTCCTTCTCCGGGAATGAACCTCTTCTCCCAGGGATGAACCCCTTCTCTGGGGATGAACCCCTTCTCCGGGAATGAACTCCCTTCTCTGGGGATGAACCCCTTCTGTGGGGATGAACTCCCTTCTCCAGGAATGAACCCCCTTCTCCGGGGGTGAACCCCTTTCCCCAGTTTAGCCTCCCCGCCCACTTTCTCCCTGTTTCACACCAGGAGCTGCGGAGGGCAGGACCCCCCTGTGCCATGAGGGGTGGCGTGTGAGGGGAGCGGTGACCCTGCAGTCCTAGAAGGGCTGTGGATATTGTTTTTCCCTCCGTTTCCCCATGGGATACCATCGCTCCCAGGTGACCCTGCAGACCTAGAAGGGCTGTGGATATTGTTTTTCCCTCATTTCCCCATGGGATATGATCCCTCCCAGTACTGGGTTTTGTTAGGCCGCACTATAAGATGCAGTGTATGCTTTCCTGTCTTAATAAAAGTGGCTTATAAAGGGGGCTTGTGTAAAGGAGGCAATTTTTTACATACAGAAAGAGATAGGACAAGATAAATGCTTTTAAACATGAAAGGAATAAATGAATATTGGCTGTTAGGACTTAGATTTCCCTATGAAGGTGCTGTCCTTGCACAGGTTGCCCAGAGCAGCTGTGGTTGCCCCATCCCTGGAAGTGTGCAAGGCCAGGATGGACAGGGCTTGGAGCAACCTGGGATAGTGGAAGGTGTCACCCACGACAGGGTGAAACAAGATGATCTTTAAGATCCTTTCCAACCCAAACCATTCTGTGATTCTATGAAAACAAGGTTGGTTTTGGTCATGGAAGTGGCCTTGCCATTAGCTGAGCGAGCATTGGAGCTGTACTGGGGGATAAAATAAAGGCATCTGTGTGAGGAGGGTGAAACCAAATGTGTCAGTCTCAAGTGCAAACATTAATTTCTATTAATTATACCAAATCAATACAGTACTATTTTTTCCCTTTGAAATACTGGCACTCACGAATAAAGATTTTGTATTCTAATTTATACAAAGCCCTGAAAATTGGCATTTCCCAGAAGTTTGCAACCTCCCAGACTCCTGCAATTGCTGCATCTAAAATACAGTCAAAACCTTCATTCCCATGTTTTAGCTCTCCTTTACCAGCATCCTCACCACATCCCAAATATCTTGGTCATGTGTACAGCAATAGCTATCTGACCTGTGGGTTATCTGTTCAGGTCACATCTCCAAAGGACCATGAATACATCTTTTATTTGTTTTGCATTAAAAGTTTTACTAAAATTTGATTACAGGAGGAAAACACAGACTTTGTGCTGGGAATCCTTTAAGGCACCGTTAGAGAGCAGCAGAGGTCCATGGAAAAGCTTTTAATTCAGCAGGTTATTTTTGTGGTTAATTCAAACTCGGAGACTCAATACCTTTTCGGTACTCTTTGCAGCCTGGCAAATAGTCTGTTTTCCAGCACTGAATAAACAGCATTCCTCTTTCTTGCTTACCACAATCACTCGAGGCTTTGCCTGTTTGACAGAGATAATAGCAGCTATTGTCAGTAAAACCTCCTGACTCATAAAGAAGTTTATTCCTGCTCTGCCTTCTCCAGAGAGTAACTTTACTTCAGGACACAAAGGACTGGATTCTTCCTGCCATCCTTGGTAGACTTCATTTTAATTTTTACATGACAGGGGAACAAAGGGAGTCCACTGTAGTTCAGATTTACATGGAAACACCATTGTTTGCTGTTTTGCATTAGTTTGGAAAAAAAAAAAAAAAAAAAAAAAAAAAAAAAAAAAAGTTGTCTTTCACAGTTTCAGTCAATCGGATGTCTCATTTTGGCATTTAGCTGGGGTGGGATATAGCAAGCTGAAGCAACTGAGCACTGAATCCTCATCACTGAGAGTGAATCCATTAAAAATGAGCTTAGGAGAAAACTCCTGTTTGTGTGACTGAGGCAGGGGATGGGGATTTGAGAATACACACCAGGACAGGTAATGGGACCTTTCCTGAGGGGATCTGTCTGCCTGTCATCTGCTTCCCAGCATTTCTGGCTGAGAAGGTTCTGTACCCATACTCACACTCCTGCTTGCTATAACACTTTATCTCCATAGATCCCTGATCACATTGCAAACATTATTACATTTAGCTTCATAAACTGTCTTTCATCATAACAGATTGTTAATATAACCCATTTTATGGTTTGAGGGAAATAAAGAATCGAGACCAACAGCAGTTTCAGAACCATCAAATCTTCAGCTGGAGATTTCACAGGATTTCAAGATCCCTTCTTCCATTCCCATGCACTCGCTGCCAAAGAAACATAAGTCATACATGTCACTGTCTCAATTATAAGATAAAATCAATGACTGTGCAGCCCCATACTTTGACAAGAGAAACTACTCCTAATATTGCAGTTTAATACCTTTATTATTATTTATTCAAGCAGTTTTATACTGCTTTTCTTTTTAAACTGCTTAAGTGCCTCTGTGTGTGTAGACTGGAAAGAGGCTGCTTTTATATTAGTCTTTGCATTATTCTGAACTGATTTTATAAGAATATATGTGTAAGATCCACAGAGCATTAGAAATATTTCCCACTACTATTGATCATAGACACACAGTGTTTCAGGACAGCCATTAATAATCCCTGCTCTGGGGAGCATCTCACTGTCAAAGTGCTGGGTTGGTTTATTAGTTTACAGGTTATTGCTTCTCTAGTTTAGATTTCTCTCTTGTATCTTTTATGATGCAGAATATAGACTGTGAGCTGGAACCTTGGGTGCAGCTGGACTCTGGGCTGCACAGCCGAGGAGAGAGGAAAGGAATTAGCTTGCTCCCTGATGCAGGAGCTGCTTGGGAATTATTCTGATCCCTGTTATAAATCAGGTACATGAAGAGGATCTGCCTGTGAGTACATTCTTTGGGCCAGACAATATCAGAACTCTCCTCTTCCCCTTATTACTGTCACAGGGAGGTCAGGGGTGTGGGTGGTGCAGGGTTGTGTGAGGGCTCTCTCTATGGGGCCATTGTAAAAGGAGTAGAAGAACAGCAGAAATTCACCTCCTGGATTTCTCCTTTTAAGCCATCCCCACTGCATTTAATTAGTCTGGAAGAGACCGTGTTCAGAAAATAATAGTGAATCAATGCTCTGGGGGAGGCAGGGAGCAGAGCACACCTGGGGATGTTTAGTTGGGTCTCCCTGGCTAGCTGGCTGCAGTCAGCAGAGAGAGGCTTTGGCAGAATGGAAACACAGCTTTGAACCCGACTGTCCACAGTCAGGAGTCACCCCTGCTTCACCTGAAGTTGGTTGGTTTATCTCTGGGTTTCTGGAGGTCCTCCTGAGAGAGGTATGAGCCTGCCAAACACGACCACATCTCAGCTGCTTGTGCACATGAGCAGAAATGGGACATCAGGTGTGCAGGGCAGCCTGAGGCTGGAGTGTGAGCCACTGAGGAGTTCAGGTGTGTGCAGGATTAGGTGGTAGCTGAACAGCATCTCAGAGTTGAAGCTGAGGCTCTCAGTTTATGTGCTCATATTTTGAAGGAAGATGAGGCAATTCTGGCTCTTTTGTGTGTTGGTCCCTTTTCTGTGCTCCCTAGGATAACAAGATTATTAGTTTTCATTCTGAGACAATTCTAAGAGGTTTGCTTTGTTCTGAAGTTGTCCCCATGGCTCTTATTGTATGGAACATCTCTTATTTCATTGATTGTGTGAGAGGAAGGCTCAGCCAATCCATCAGGCATTGCAGAACCACTCCAGCCTATTTTGTTGTTGATGAAACATTTTTCTTTTCTCAGTGTAGAATTCAGCCAGCTAAAAACCACAGTCTTAGAAGAAAAAACAAACACAGCACTTAAACACAAATTGTTCCCTTTCTGAGTGAGTTGCACTCAGCAGCACATCTGAAATAGAAGTGCTGGATTGCTTACATGCCTGAGACTGTCAGGTCATGCTATTGTTTTGGTTTCTTGTACTTGCAGCTTAGTAAGGAAGCAATAGGGGAATGTTCATTAATGTTTGTGTCAATAGTAACAGCCCACATATGAGCACTAGCAGATTTTCCTGAGAAAGCTCAATGCACAGGGTAGGATTTAAAAACATGGCAGTAAGCCAGCATGCCCTGGCTGGGCCTGGAAACATCTAGGTAGCAATTTGACTGGTGCTCTGTGGAAGTTTTTTTTAGTCAGATTTAGCAACCTATAAATAGAGGAGTACTCCAGCCCTTGTAGGACTTTTTTTTATGCTGTGTCATTGGTGTTTTCTGAGCTGCTCTGCAGGCTGGGGGAGAAGGATTACAGATCCATGGGGCTGAGTGGAGAAAGGAGAAACCTTGGTGCTGAGAGAGAATTTTGGGAAGGGGCTCCTGCTAAGATTGCAGAGCCTGGAAAGAGTGAAGCAAGTCACACCTGCAGAAGGACTTTGCTGAAAACAGTTTTTGGGGTGCTTGATCTCAAACAGCAGTGTTTTTCATATATTCAGTACCCTTAAA